GCTCCTTGCTCCTGGATTATTCTTATGTCGTCCAAGAGTGAGGCTGGGGAGCCGGCTAGAGTACCATCATCCAAAAACCAAATGTTGAGCTCACTGGACAGGTTATCGGTGACTTCCTTGATAACTAGGCAGAACAGAAAAGGAGCAAGGGGGTCACCTTGTTGGACACCTTCTTGTGATTCAATTTCATGTTCCCCAAAAAGCAGAGTTAGATTCTTGCTGTAGCATGAGTTTACAAACGGGTAGAGGGAAGGAAAAAGGCGATGAACTGCACTGAGTACTGCATCCCTTCTAACCAGATTGAAAGCATTTTTGAAGTCCAACTTTATCAGGGCTTTTTCATTCGTAATGTTGGCAATGTAGGCTCTAGCTGCATGAGCCGCTGCCTCACACCCTTGGGGAATGCCAAACCCAAGCTGTTTTGGCTTCAGCATGTCGGCTGCTGCCTGACTAACTGCTCTAGCTGCAGCCTTAGCGACGAGACGCCGGAGTGAATTGCCGACAGCTATCGGTCTGATTCCTCCATCTTTTTTCCTCAGGGCACAGAGGGTAGCGCCAAAAAAGAGAGGCCGTATGGTCTCTGGTATGTTGCCAGCTAGACATGTGTTGGCGAATCTAGTTAGTTCCACCAGGAGGCCCTGTGCAATGTCTCCCAGTGCAGGGTTGAGCATTTGTTTGATGTGGTTGGGTCGTAGTCCTGTGAACCCACCTGCTGATCCTGGTGGGAACGATAAAGCTGCTTTGTGCACCATGGATTCGAGCACACACAGGGGTTCTGCTCTGGTGACACCGACTAGGGGGACACTGTCGTCACGAGGAGCTCTGGGTGGGTGTTTTTCCCTCAGGGCTTGTGCTGTATCGGCATCCCTGGTGGCAACTGTGTCTTCACTGGTGATGACTCTGATCGCCCCTATTGTGTTGCCTTCTTCTATTTTCTTGCTGACTGTTGCTCTGATTTTGGATGCCTCGGTTCTGCTGTTGATACCTTTCCTGCGGTGGGTGTTTTTGGCACGGGTGGGGAGGGGTGCCTGGTTGTCCTCTCTAGGAAAACTATTTATAGCCATAATGACCGAGGAAGCTAGTGATTTGTCTCTCCTTGCAGGGACAGCTAGGCATATGTTTCCAAACAGGAGAAGGTTGTGCCATGCGTGGATAGTTCCGGGGGAGTCATTGACCTTTTTCAAGAGGCTGGATAGTTTGGCTGCTGCCTGGGGCCGGGCAGCTTTGGGGATGTGCTGCAGGGTTCCAACCGATGTTGCTTTGATGGCTTCTAGTAGATTCTCAGTCGAAATGAAGCTGTTAGAGGTGTTTTCCCTGACTGCTGGAGTGGGGCCTTGATTGATACCCTCTTTGGGAGGGCGCCACATACCCGGACAATCGGTTCCGTTGTGAGCATGCTTGCGCACATCTCCGTTACGCTTGAGTCTCCACACCTTGTCACACACTTGGCATGTGCCATACCTGTCGTCGATTGATGGCTCCTCTTGGCTGAGAGAAGCCTGGCTGTCAGTCGTGACCTGCGACATCAGCGGGCGCTGGGTGGGCGCTGGGCGGGCGCTGGGTGGGCGCTGGGCGGGCGCTGGGCGGGTGCTGGGCGGGCGCTGGGCGGGCTCTGGGCGGGCGCTGCGTGGGCGCTGGGCGGAAGTAGCGTGAGGGGGTGGACACAGGGAGGTAGCGGTCGCGGTTGGGGGTGGGGCAGGGGGAAGAGGGTGACTCTTGGGTTGGGTGACGGTACACACTGGCGGGTATGGGGAGGGGGTGGGTCAGAGGGGTGACACTAACACGTTTGTATAATCTCGTGATATATCACTGCACAATATAAACTGGTTCACTGTGGACTCGATGCACTTAAAACACGATACCAGTTTCCCGAGAGCCGAGGTATCTATTTTTCATTGATATTTTCATAAACACTTACACACTGGTCACCCCCCTCGACTGACCGCACAACAACACCCCATCCCCACCACCCCCCACCCCCCACCCCAACCACCATAACCGAGGGAGCCCCTCAAGGCGCCCTTGTTGGCCCTCACTGCAGTTCAAACGATTCCACACTGCCAATCCACTTGTTTGATTGTTTTTGCTTGCGATAGTTCCCCCTGGACACTTCCCGCCACTCTCACACCTTCCCAGGATGTTCACACTGCACACTGTTGAGTCTGGGTCCGGTGAGGTCAGGATGTCACAAGATAATGGCACATGGCCGGCAGAGCCTCCTCCCAGCGTCCGTTCCCTGTGGAGAACACAGGGGCAGGGTACCTTAAGATTTAAGGTATTGCATGGAGTGACCTCTGACTCCATAATGATGTAATTTAAGAAGAAGGTTTTGGTGGTTGACAGTGTCAAAAGCCTTACGCAGGTCCACAAAAAACCCAACAGGGAACTCATTTTTATCAAGAGCTGAATGTATCAAGTTAAGCATACTAATATGTGCATCATGTGTTCTTTTTTTGGTCTGAAGCCATATTGACAAGAGCTAAGTATATTGCAATGATTTTGTGGCAAGCACAAAGCACAAATACTATAGTTTAGATAAGGATAGATGAGGGAGTAATAGAGCATCACCAGGGCAGGGCGAGGTACATAATATCTGATCTTAGAAAGAATGCCAACAGTTTTTGAAACTTTTTTTTATATATTTAGAATGTGTCCCTGGAAATACAGCTTGTGGTCATTGAGAACGACAAGGAATTTGCCATCTCTTTTGTTACAAGTTTGGGTATTGTTTATCCTGAGATTTATTTGATTTGAGGATTTATTGCCAAACAAAATATAGAAAGTTTTGTCAATATTGAGGGTGAGTTTGTTGACAGTTAACCAAAGATGGACTTTATTTAGCTCAGTATTCACTGTGACATTTAGAGCAAGGGGGTCAGGACTGGAGTAAATGAAGGTTGTGTCGTCAGCAAATAGAATTGGTTTAAGGTGTTGAGAGGCATTTGGAAGGTCATTAATGTAGATGAGAAAGAGGAGAGGGCCAAGTATGCTGCTCTGAGGAACACCAATGTTGATGGGTAGGGAGGGAGAAATTGAATTATTCACAGAAACATACTGGAGCCTGTCAGTAAGGTAAGATTTAAGGTATTGCATGGAGTGACCTCTGACTCCATAATGATGTAATTTAAGAAGAAGGTTTTGGTGGTTGACAGTGTCAAAAGCCTTACGCAGGTCCACAAAAAACCCAACAGGGAACTCTTTTTTATCAAGAGCTGAATGTATCAAGTTAAGCATACTAATATGTGCATCATGTGTTCTTTTTTTGGTCTGAAGCCATATTGACAAGAGCTAAGTATATTGCGTTTGGCTAGATAAGAGTAAAGCTGCTTGAAGATTAGTTTTTTAAATAGTTTTTGCAAGTTTGGCAGGATTGATATAGGTCTGTAGTTGTTAACATCTGTGAGATCACCACATTTGTGAACAGGCGTTCCTGTCGCTTTTTCTAGAATATCTGAAAAGGTTTGGAGTTCAAGTGACTTGTTGAAGAGCAATGCAATAGCAGGAGCTAAAGATCTGGAGGCTTTTTTGTAAATTAAAGTTGGTATCTCCTCAAGGGCACTAGATTTGGTTTTAAGGGAAAGGATTATCTCATTAACATCTGTGGAATTTGCAGGTGTTAGGTACAGAGACTGCAGATAGTTACCTGTAAGATAGTCCTGAACATCAGTACTGGAAGATGGAATATCATTTGCAAGGGATGACCCAATGGAAGAGAAGAACCTATTGAACTCAATAGCAGAATCAGAGGCTGAAAGCTGACCATCGTTACTGGACAGGAGTATTGGTTTTTTATTTAAAATTTTCTTTGATCCCAATATTTGTGAAATTGTGCTCCATGTTTTCTTAATGTTGCCCTTTGTTTGGGTAAATTTATCTTCGTAGTATTTAATTTTGGCTCTTCTAATTATTTTAGATAGCAATGATGAGTAATTCTTTGAAAATTCTTTGGAGATGATTCCTAACCTATACTTCTTCTCAAGGTCATGTTTTTATTAATGGATTTAAGTATTCACTTTGTAAGCCAAGGATTGTTTAGCCATTTAGTTGTGACTTGTTTCGTTAGCATAGGACAGTGGGTGTTATAAAGGCTGAGAGTTTTTTGAAGAAAAGATTGCACTGCTAGGTTGATGTCCCCTCTGTTACCTAATTCGGACTCCCAGTTGATATTAGCAGCAGCAGCTATAAAATTGCCTATAGCAGTTTCATTGTGCAGCCTAAAGCTTATCTCCCTTGTCTCTAGAGGTGGTTTGTTAATGTTAGGAGAAACATAGGGTAATGGTCTGTAGTGCTATCGATGATTATCCCTGAAGTAAGCGGAAAGGTTATGTTGGTCCAGATGTGGTCAAGAGCCGTTGCAGTACTATCAGTGATTCTAAGAGGTCTAGTGATTAAGGGTATGAGGAAGCAAGAATTCATACAGTTGAGGAAACTAGTAGCAGTAGGGTTTTCAGGCTCTCAGAGGTCAATATAATTAGAGGTCTGTTGCGATAATTAGATGTTTTTATCAGTCTGTTGTCTAGAATTAGATTTCTAAGGTTAGAGTTGAGTTCGGACACATAGTGTTAGGAATTCTATTGACTGCTCCCACAGTCAGGATAGATTCAGCACTTAGTTTCCTCATAATACAATAATTCTCTCAATGGCATTGATAACACTTGGTGTTATGGCATATTTTAATCCCATTTATAGTATTCAAAATTATTTTGTCAACTAAAATTGGCAAGTAGAATAGTAGACAACAACATTGAATATCTGACAAAGATATTATTATCTTTTATTTGATTTATAAAATTAAAAAGTAAACTTGACATTTCCTTTATTGTAACAATAACAAATAATTTGTCAGTTTACCTATGGATCCGTGTAGTAGCATACTGGCCACTCCTATTTCTAACCAAGAATATTTAAAGGTATTTTTTATGCAATATTAGGTATTAATAAATGTTTATATACGAGTGAAGTCTTTCGAGTGACTCCTGATAACACACGCAATGACTTACCGCAAGAAAGTTCGTCGGAGTCATCGTGGCAGTCACGGTCGCCATCACATCGCCACGTCATGGGTAGGCAGCGAGAACCATCCAAGCAGCTGAATTTATTATCTGCGCACATAGCAAGATCTATGGAGAGAAACAAAATTATTGATACATTCTATTTAATACTATAAACCCAACTTGCAACCTTTGCAACATACACTTTTTTTCGTTACCAAACTCAACATTAATGGCATACTCAGTTTTACACTATAAACAATGATCACAACAGAAGTCGCACATAATGATAATTACTCAGGCAGTGGCCTTTAATCCTGGACTATGTTCTGGACTAAAGAATACTTGCTGGTTGGTAAATAAGCTACTGTTGTTGGCATGAAAACTCTTCCTAAGGAAAAATAGTTTATAAACCGAACACCAAATAATTGTATTATTGTCACAAAATTCCAAAGTGGCCAATGGTCAGGTTCCCCTCCTACTCGGTAAGCTCACTTTTGTAAAGATGCTGATGATTACTTTCGTCAGCCACTGATCTAACCGGGACGGATTTATGTCTCATGCTCTGGTAAATAATATTGTACCCACTGTGAGGAATCCGTCAAGTGTAACCTACTTTTATTGGCCTTAGGAGATCAGGTATTTTATTATTTGATTTGTTACCACTCGAGGCAATCTTTAATATTTTGTAATTGTGGGAAATTTTTCTTCACTACAACTGGTACCATAGAAAATCCATCAGTGCTTAGGATGGGTCAATGATAGTTCACCACCTGGGCCCCACATTGGGTAGGATAGTGGCGAACCCCGGTTGGTCTTTGTTTTTCCACATTTGTAGCCATTGTTGCTACAGTTTCTACGGCTCTGACTATACTCTCAATCCTTCCATGATTTACAATGATGTTCTTGGTGTTGCGTTCGGAAAATGGCTAAACTAAAACCTGGGTCTGGGACTCAATGAAACTGCATAAGTTTCGTTGTTACTATTCCAAATACCTGATCCCTGTGACAATGTATTCTTGAAAAGGCCTTGTTTACTGCTGAGGTTTGTTTTCCATGACCGATAATGATATTGTTACTGAACTAGCATATCAACAGCTGTTAGCAGGAAAGTTATCACGAAGTTGCTGAATAATGAGTGATGGAAACTCATTCGTTAAGATTTACATTTTATTAGAGGAAAAGATTATCCATTAGCAATTATTGGAAGGAGAATAGTTGTGGTTACTGACGAGCGAGGACGTGCTGCATCACACTCCAGTTAGCGGTTGATGATTGGCTCGCCGGCCACTGGAGGGTGCGGATGTGTATGGAGGTGCTCGTCAGGTCCTAATGAGTGGTTACATTGGGAGGGTGTCCGTGGCGTCTGTGGTGATATTGTGTAGTGCACAGGCAGGGCGCAATAGTTGAGTTACAAAAGGGTAGTATTGGCCTTCGAGGAAAAGGACGACGACGGCTGGTCTGGAGTTTTCCGTGCCAGTAGACCATGTGTTGGTTGGGATTGCCCTGTTGAACGTTCTTCATGTGCAGTTGTCTGACTTGGTGGACATTCAGCTGATTCAGGGCAATCATGTGGCACTTAAATTTCACCACCAAGCTGCCTTTCAAGAATTCACCTAGTTGTACACACCTAGTTGTGGTTGCGGGGGTTGAGCTCTGCTCTTTCGGCCCGTCTCTCAACTGTCAATCAACTGTTACTAACTACGTTTTTCCCCTGACACCACACACACACACACACACACACACACACACACACACACACACACACACACACACACACTCGTGTGTGTGTCTGTGGCGGAGGGAATCGGACCTGCGACCACAGGATCACGCATCCAGTGTGCTATTCAGTCAGCTACCGGACCCATGAGTAGCCGGTGGGCGAGAAGTGATTCACGGGCGGTGCGAGGAGCGTGCTTTCCCTCTCACGGGTGACTCAGGTTCTGGTAGAATGGTGAATCTCGGCACGGATTTGACCTACGTAGCAGTGCGTGGTACCCCTTTCGAGTTTAAGGACGACCTTTTTACTGGGTATTTTGAATGGTTGGTTTCAACTGTGTTACGACTGATGACTTACTTTGCAGAAACGTGCATGCCAGTGTGTCGGGGCAGATTTCAATGGTGGTGCGGCGTGTGTGGGTATGGTTGCCTTTGTGGGGCCGTATGGACGCTGTGGGTCTGGATCTGGATGGCGAGGCTGAGGTGATGGTAGCCGTGCCTGGCAGGGTGCCGGGGAGGGGTGGGAGGAGTCTTTACCTGTTCTAGCCTGCCTTTCACATGTTGGTCCTGTGTCCCCTGTAGAGAAGGCGGTGGTTCGGGCTGGGCATGCTGTGTCCCGTTCCTCTGGTGGTGTGGCCACTGTGGAATTTATGGACTGCAGACGGTGGTGAGAACGATGAATGTGGTTTATATTTGGTGGGGGCTTCGGTGCCCATGGGGGGTCCTGGAGGGTGGGGGTGGGGGGAGTTTGCTGCCGTGCTTCTTCCCCTGTTCTTCCCTTCCAGTTGCGGCTGCTTCACTGCAGGGGATTATTGACTCTGGTGATTGTGCGGGAGACAGACCGGTTATTGTGCTGAAGAAGGGGGCTGTGTATGCTCCAAGGGTTCCTCCTCCAAGGGCTTTGGCTCCTGTTGATCCATGGCCTGATTCTCGTCCACAGAGGTCTGTTGCCGACCGCGTTCTTGCTGAGAGGCATTCAGTGATTATGCTTGGTGTGAGTTGGGAATACTTTATTCTTATTGTGTATTTTCTCCAGTGTTTTTCTATTTCCCTGTATTATATTATATTATATTATATTATATTATACTATATTATATTATATGTTAGCTGTTAGCTTTATATGTTAGCAGACTCTGTTAGTTTTGCCGGCCGACCAGACGGAATCACACTGCGACCATGGAAGGGTGGCAGACAGTTGGCATGGGACTATACTTGTGTATCCACCCTGGCAACCACATACATCAACCTCTCTGCCGGCACAGCAGGAGCCGCGGCGACACGCAGAGAAAGAGACAAGTCAGCCAAGTACAGGCAATTAGATCATCGGTACAACTTTGATCCAATAGGGTCTGATACCCTAGGCCCATGGGGAGAGAGTGCAAGGTTTCTTAAGGATCTTGGTTCCAAGCTCATTGACACCACAAGAGACCCTAGAGCAGCAAGTTTTCTCTTTCAGCGTCTCAGTGTAGCGATCCAGAGGAGGAATGCTCGCTGCATCCTCGGTTCCTGCCCGGCGTCGGAGGAGTTCGAGGAAATCTACTGCCTCTAGGAAGCGAACATTTTTTTGTATCCTCTTAATGTTAATTTGTTGTATAAAATCAGATATGTAACTGTATAACCTTGCATAATAAAGTGTACACCATAAAAAGAGGGGGGTGCTAGGAGAAGCGAACACTCTTACGCATTCAGAGTTAAATGGCAAGTTTTTCCCTGAATGCTCTGTGTTCCCTTCTCTGAGGCTGTGGGTCCCTATAATTGCACCAGAGGTGGTACCCCCTTATATTATATTATATTATATTATATTATATTATATTATATTATATTATATTTAATTTGTGTGTATTGTGTCTCGTCCTGTTTGCACGAGTGTCCTGTTTTGTTGTGTGTTTTCTTTTCTTTTGTTCTGTTACCTCGGTAACTCTTTTTTTATTTGTATTTCGATGATGTTTAGTATATGTAAGATGTGAAACTGCATGTGGAATGCTAATATTTGTTGCGTCTAGCACCGTGTCGACTGTGTTCTTGCCTGTCATTTTGTTTCCCTGTGATGTGCACTTATGCGCTGTCCCATGCTGCTTGAACATGCATGTGTTTGGTTGTAATTTGTGCTTTTGTCAAGTGATGCTGTTCTCTTGTTGTGGATAGTGTATGGTTCCTTACTTTTCTTGTGTGTTTATAATGATCACTTACACTTCTCTGCTATCGAGATCTGAATCTCCTGGCCTGAAATATTCTCGCTGAGTTCATTATGCGGTTCTGAACCAAGTCGGTTCAAGATTAGTCGACTTTCTACGTGCTCGTTTGGAACAACTGTGTGGTGCACAACAGTTGTTGTTTTGCTGTTTTATCGTTAAATTCAAATCAGCATCACCTTTTGTAGATTTTATGGTCTTAAAATCTTATGATTTTACTTGTTGCTGAAGTTCAGCCTGTGTTGTGTTAGGGGTACATCATTGCTTGTTACTTGAGAGTTTTGAATGAGATTCCGTCGGCTACTGGGACATGTGAATGGGTAGATCACACAGTTACCCTGAGTGATCAACCTGTTCCCACCTTCAGGTGGATGGTTCCCTTCTGCAGCGGATGAGGGTGTGGGGTCCCAGCAGTGGTTTCAACTAACTCCAGGAATTTCCATGAATGGAGTGTTTGGAAGAAAGTTGTAAACGGTGGTTTGATTGTAGATGGTGGCATGGTAATATGTTAATACTCAAATTGTATGAAGGTTGAGACATAACCAATCACAGGGGGAGTAGGCCTCTGACGTCATTCCACACAGAGCCAGCACTAGCTGCTCTCCAAGCAGGCCTCAGTATCTCTCGAGACCAGAGTTAGGTAGGACCTCGGCAGGCCAGATTTATACCTTGTTACCTTACAAAAAAAACTACTGATGTGATCTACTGATCTCTACTATCCAGCAGCAACTATACATCCAAGAGGTAACGAATACTGGTAGCAGCTGTGGGATTCAGAATTAATTTTCTGAGCTACGAAACCTGAAGTGCCCACATCATGTGTGTCCAGCTGCCTCCCGCCACCCACGCATGAATATTCAATGATACTGTACCAGTCTGGGGTCCTACCATCAACTCCTACTCTAGGTCAACGTCTCAGAAGTAAGGCACAATATTTACCAGTGAGAACGCCATTTCATAAGTGAGGGGGAAAGGAAGATTCCCGCGCCAGCCATTTTGAATTTCGCGCCACCTGGGAACCTACGACACCCACCCACCCACTACCACAGCCATCCAAGCCCTCATCAAGAAGCCTTGTGTATGTTTGCCTGTACTATTCCAGCTACTGCAATCATTTCAAGTTTCAACTGTTCTTCAGGTGTGTTGCGCATATTTATTGAGAAACAATTGGTGAACTGCAATTGTCTGACTAGTGTCGCTAGCTCCCACTCACGTCGC